CCTCAACCCTCAACCCGAAACCCTACCGTCTATCGGGGCCTCTTCAGGGTCTTCCGGGTACCTCTCTAAGCCCGATTTGAGGCCCTTTTTGCAACCTTTGGGCTCTGAACTTTCAGAAGCGAAGAAAGAAAAACGTTCAGGCGCTGAGGGCTGAGCATTTAGGGCTTTTGGGGCGTTGAGGTTCGAAGGCCAGGGCTTTGCAACAGGGCTCATTTGCACCCAAAGTAGAGATGCCCCCAACTCCTCCTCTAGGCATGTTCAGTCCTTATTTCTTGGAGAAAGGCTTTCGGCAAAGGCGCAAACCCAGGTTGAAGGTAGCCCAGAACCTAAACTGACATCCCAACCTCAACGCCAAGGCACAAGCCCCTTGCCTCTACATTGAATCCGACACTTAAACGAACCAAACTTTGAACATCAAGAACCCACAACGCCCAGGGAGCCCAAACCGCTATCCGTTGCCTCTCTGCTTCCTCTTGAGGCGCCCAAAGGCAGATCGCATGCATCTCATAACCCTCGGCCGGCGTAGCTCTGAGAGTTGGGGGCCGAGGGACCCTGCACCCCTCAACCTGTGCAAGCCTTGTCAAATCTCGAGGTTAAGGGTTTAGGGTTTAGGGCGGCTTCAATTGGAAAGACGAGTGCCAGAGCTCTGTGGAAACTCACAGTAGCCGCCAGCACTACACCTTATAACCCAACCGCCACACGTGGTGGCCCAAACCCTTCAACTCTCACAGAGATCCAACCAAGCCTCAGGCCCCAAACCCTATAAACCCGAAACCGTCAACCGACCCGTTGAGGAGCTCGGCGCGCTAATGTACTTCTTTCGTCTAACACAGCTTGGGGTTTAGGGTTCTGGGATCAGGGTTCAAAGGGTTCAGAGTTTGGGGTTTAGGGCTCAGAGGTTTGAGGGGGCTTTTTTTCATTTTGGGGCTCTAGGGTTGGGAACCTAAACCCTAAACCCTAAACCCAGTGTTGGTTTGTTGAGGAGTCTCGAGGCTCTGATGCGAGAAACCCTTGAAGCGTGAAGCCTACCAGAGAACAGCTTCCCAAAATAAGGGGTGCGCTATTTTGGGGTCCTTATAATAAGGGTCCTACTATGTAGAGTACTGTATTAGGCTCCCCTATTCTCGGTAACCTCCAGATGTGACTGCTTTTTGCACTCCAGGCACAGCAGCTTGCAGCGACTTCAGCATGTCCTTGACGCGCTCCGGTTTCCTCTGAACGGATGCGAGTGAGGTATTCAGGAACCCTCGAACAGCCACGCCTCAGGACTCCCTTCAAAGCTTGTCATTAAAGAAGACCCATCGGCAGCACATGAAAGGACCGTTGTACTAAGCCGTCTACTGCCTCTCCAGAAGGGCTTCTCCCAGCGAGCTCGGATCCTACAACCTGACTCCGAAATTCGAGAATGGCCACCGCAGTCCTGATAAATCGTCAAGCCAAGCACAAGATCAACAAGATCAACACCGCAACCAAGACCTTCCAATTCGGCACCCCCGAAACCCTTGAACCAACATTACCATGTGATCCCTGACGTCCGGTTGCTTTGACTTCAATGCGGGTCCGCGGCTCCGAGGTTTGGCTAAAGCACAGCCGTACCCTGCACCATGAAAGCCCCTACGATGGCTGGCAGGGTACAGGGCTTAGGCTCCCAACAGAAAGGCACGAAGCAGAGTAGTACAGGATTTCTGTACCAAGGCACAGAGCACAGTCAGCTAGAACGATGTTCTGACGGTTCCTCAGCTTGGCAGAGACATCAGAATATCGGCTGGGCTTCAGGTGTAGGCCTGGGCTTCCGGGCTTGAACTTAGGTAGTTATAATGTGCTATACTGTACTGTACTATACTAGAATGTGTAAACCATAATATACTAGAATGTGATGTACTATGATGCACATGTCTTCGTTCAACCTAGGGATGGGATATGCGGGAGCCAAATGAACCTTTGCAGCAGCCTAAGGCCTGCAATCTCGTCCCTCAGTGAAGCCTTGACTCTAAACCCGAACCCTAAACCTCAACCCTCCACCCCAAACCCTAAACCCGAACCCCAACCCTAAATCCAAAGCCTAAACTCTTTAAACCTAAATCCTGGAGTCTCCGCCTCTCCGCTATCCCGCCACGGCACGCAATGGCTTTCTTCAGGATCGACTTCTTCAAGCCTGGGCGGGAGCTCCGGAGGTCCTATAAGGAGCTACTACCAGAGATGCTGTATGGGATCTTCCTGTAGGGGATCTCTTAAGTGGGATACTGTAAGTAAGAAATACTATAAAGCGTTACTACACATGGTGCAAAACTGCGTGCTAATATGGGCAAATATATGGAGCTACTGTAAAAACGAAGCTTACGAATCCGTCGCAAACTCACTGGCAAAACCAATGGGCTTCGGTCCTGATTAGGGTATATCTCTGTGTGTGTGTGTGTCCGTATGCATGCAAGCTTTTATACATGCATGTACATGGAATTCTATGCAGGTACGTCTGCATATACGTGTCTCTGTGTGTGTGTGTCTCTGTCCGCGTGTGCCGAACTCCTCTTTCCTTCTCGCATGCATTCACCCGAATTAAACCCTAAACTCTGGACCCTAAACCCTAAACCCGGCTTTCTTCCTGAGCTCGATTCTCTGCCCGAGCCTTCCCCCCTGACACGTAAACCTTTGAAATCCAAACCACTATGCTCAGCTCCGTACATCCTCAACCGTGAACCCTAAACCGTAAAACCCAAAATCCGACACCCAAAGCTTGAAATACATCCTGAAACCCTACTCCGAAATCCTTCGACCGTGAACCCGAAACTCTGATAAAACCCGTGAGCCCACCGAATATAGGAGCCTTCATAACCCGCTGGGGTTTCAGGCTTAGGGAGTATATTATACTATAGCGGTAGCAAGGAACCCCGAAGTAGTATTGGTAATTATCTGATCATATCTAACCCCCTACAGTAGGACCCTGAAACCCTGTAACCTCAGGCAAGCCTGCCTTCCACGCAGCCGGTCTCCTGCATGCTTCGTTGGGTGAAACGAATTATAAGGCCTGGAGTTTCAGAATCCGAGGCTTCGACTTTGGGGTTTAGGTTTAGGGTTTAGGTTTCTAGTCTAGCAGATGGCTTGGAGCTCTGATGCAAAGGTGTCGAGGGCTTGCCTTCGAAGTGACTATAAGGGTTTCTATAAGGTTATCAGGGTTACTGTATGTGTATATTATTGGGGTTATTGTAAGGGTTGTTATAGGGGCTACCTTGACATTTAAGGTTTTGGGCGACGGGCTTGAGGGTGTCGGGTGTAGGGCTTGGGCCATGAAGGCCTCAAATTCTCTGTACATCTCTTCTCCACTTACCAACAGAACCCGGCTCCTCCAAAACGCTCCTCCACCCTAAACCCAAAGGCTGCAGGCCTCGAGCCCTACGTTCAAACTCCAAGCTCGCGCGCTGGTGCCTCTGGATTCGTGCTCTTAGCATAAGAAAAATATCGGAAGATCAGACGGTGGATTCCATCCAAGCCTGCCACGACAGATTCGAAGCAGCTTCTGGCTTCGTCTCCGTTTTAATCCCTAAGAAGAGGAAGCTTGATCATGAACAGGAGCAACTTCCATTTCTCCTAGTACTTTCGTGGGATCATTGTTATGGTTGTTACGCGTTCTACTATTGTCATCAGGCTTGCAGTGGCCTTCAGCGCATCCCAGGCATCTTTGTGGAGGACGTGGTGGTCGAAGCCGTGTTCTGCGACGCGACGGAAGCCGTCGTGAGCGTCCCGGATCCTCTTGCTGGTGCTTTGGCTTGGGGAGCATCCGCCTGTAAAGGACCTCAAGAAATAGCGTACTCGAGCTGTGTCAAGTGGCTTATACTGTATGGGTTGAAAGAGGTGTGAAGGAAGTCTTATGCAGCTGGTTTTGATTCGAGATGCCTCGCAGGGTTGCGGAGTTATGGCCGGCTCTCAGCAAAGTGGTCCCTCACTTCGAGCTCCACCGTCAGAGTGATAATATTGAAAACCCTGAGCCCTGAACCCTTGAAGGTACGGCATGAGATTCAAGCACTGAGGCGTTATGGTTGGACCGCAGGGTGACGATCTTTCAGAACCCGACCAACTAAAGCACAACAAGCCCCCTCCAAAGCCAATGAAGCCTCACCAAAACTGTCAAAAACCCTTTACAAACCTAAAACCCTGAAGCCCTAACCCCTAAACCCTCACCGAAACAGCCGAAAACCCCCTAAAGTCCTACTCTCTCCACGTTAAACGCAATGCAGGACATAAATCCGAGGCTAAAGGCCCCGCCCGGAAGGCGATGTCTTGTCTTCGGGCTGTGGAACCCTCGTACCCCTCAAAATTCGGTTCGATGTTTCGGGCTTTACGGTAAGGGTTCTATATTGGGGTTCCACAGGGCGCTATACCCTGAACCCTAAACCCTAAACTTTAAACCCTAAACCCTAAACCCCATGTTAAGCACAAGCTTGGAATCCTGGCACCCAGAACCCTGAAAGCCACAGACTTCAAACCCCCCACCCCAACCGCCACTCCCACCGCGAAGCCCGAGCCCCACGCTCCGGGGTTCAAGGCTTTATGCTTTGGGGTTTAGGGTTTAGGGCTTTCCTTGGGGGCTTCAGGGAATCCCTGGAGCCAACAGCACCGGAGACTGAGCCACCCCAGGTCTGAAACCAGTCGGGAAGCTCATTGCCATCGACACTCACCTGAGGCACGGCCACTTGTCACATCTTCTGCCTGATTGATGTCCTGAACCCTAGACCTCAAACCAAACCGAAACCCTAGGATTGGAGGTGGGCTCGAGCTTGGCTACTCAAGGCTATGGGGAAAAATGATTTGCGCAATTGCTGGCTCTGTGTCTTCTCTTCTATCAACTACCGCTCTGTTCCAATCTTTAATACTTTTTTACAAAGGCCATAAGTCAGTCTTGTACTGTAACCCCTTGCACAATCAGCATCAATGTCTCTAGACTCCCGAGACTCCCCAGACTATGTAAAACCTTTCGAACCGCGAAACCCTCCGACCAACCAAGCATTTAAAGACATTTGCCAAAAGAGTTATGTCGTTCTCTAAACATATATATATATATATATGTGTGTACATCTCTCTCTCTCTCTCTGTCTGTCTCTGTCTATCTCTGTCTGTCTCTGTCTATCTCTGTCTGTCTCTGTCTGTCTCTGTCTCTGTCTGTCTCTGTCTCTGTCTGTCTCTGTCTCTGTCTGTCTCTGTCTCTGTCTGT